AGCATGCCTTTGCTTTGTTTGTATTTATTCAATGAAATCATGAATATAAGATGATGCTGTTTAGTAGATTGCCGTAATGTTGTATGACTATATTTTTGCTATAATAAATAAGTGAAACCATATTTGTGTATCTATTGTTTTTACACAAGTTGTAAACAAATGTTTTTGTGGATACCCAATGCAAGAGAAAACTCTGGCATTTGAGAAGATCAAACAATATATAGAAGAAATAAATATTATTTAGATCCTTACCTCTGGGCCTAGGATTGCACAACTCAGATTTCATCACTATTCCATTTCAGAAGGCGCATCTTTCATTGCCCTTGCTTCTTAGAATTACTGCTGCATTCGCCACATGAGAATTTGATTATGTATGAATGTTTCAAATACTTTTAAGGGTGATTTTATTTCATCTTACAATATTGTAGGGGTGCTTTATTTGTCCTCCCTGTATGCTGATATCACCATCTAGCAGAATTATCACACCAAATCATCAATTCTGTCTTTAGAAGCATACACTTTTCTTTAATAATCAACAATCTGAAACAGTATATGCACCATTCAACTCAAATTGAAGATGAAGAAAGAAGAAAAGAAGAAGGAGAAGATGCTTTGATAATGAAATATATTTAGGTTATTTCAGTTACAGCATGGTGACTTTATATTCATATATCCAAGATGGCTTTGCTCATGACAGTAGTCCTAAATTGAATTGATATGGATATGGATTTCAAGCACTTCTATATCACAAACAGGATCTCACATCCGAATGCATAATGGTTACTTAAGGCAGCGTTCATACAAACATTTACAAATATTACAACCCATTTATAGGTATGCTATGCTAGGCCATATATTTTATATTAGATTTCATCGGATGAACAATTCCTGCTACAGAGAATTTGTAATTTTATTTCATAGTGGACTATTGAAGAAATGAGAAAGGAAAAGTAATTCTGGACCAGTATGTGAGAACATGGTACAATAATTTCTCCTATCCTAATATCTGTTTTATTCTGCCAGAATTCAAAATAATTGTCTTTGAATATTAACTAATCAAAATTTATCCCTCATGGCAGTGGTCAAAGCACAAATTGAAAAGCACCTACAGAACATTAATATTGTATAATTTGGGACTGTAGGTACATGTATCTTGACTTTGCTTGGAACAAGTACTGTCTTGTAGGCCCCCGGTAGGAAGGGGCGGAGAGAGACTAGTCAGGCTTGGAGCACGTTTCATGCTTAAGTATGAACAGAGCACATCCCTCTCAACATGAATAAAGATGAGGATACTAAATGCGTTCACTTCATTTCAGATGTCTCCTGGGCATTGGTATAGAGAAGGCAGAAACCAAAAAGTATCACAGGACTGATACCATCATAACACGTTACCCTTGGAATTTGTTTACCTGTTATGTATTCCTTGAATGCAAGATGGCCATTATTAGATGCACATTATCATTAGATGCGGCAAGCGTGGGCGATGTCTGGGCCATTCAGGATCCATGAATATATTCCAGCTTAAAACTGTCCTTCAATCTTTGTTCTATGCCTTCTTTCCTTTTCCCCCTAATTTTCTATCTCTCTTTCTCTCTTTGTCTCTCATTCTCTCTCTCTCTCTCTCTCTCTATCTCTTTTTCTCTGTCAGTCTGTCTCTCTTGCTCTCTCCCCAGCTCTCTCTCTCTCTCTCTCTCTATCTCTTTCTGTCTGTCAGTCTGTCTCTCTCGTTCTCTCCCCAGCTCTCTCTCTCTCTCTCTCTCTATCTCTTTCTGTCTGTCAGTCTGTCTCTCTCTCTCTCTCTCTCTGTCTCTTTCTGTCTGTCAGTCTCTGTCTCTCTTGCTCTCTCCCCAGCTCTCTCTCTCTCTCTCTGTCTGTCTGTCTGTCAGTCTGTCTCTCTCGCTCTCTCACTTTCAGTTTGTTGATCACCGTCTTTCGGTATTGCCCTGTACTGTCTTTTATACTATACTATTAATTTACCTCTCTCCCCCTTTTTTCATTTTTCTGAGGGCTGTACATGTATTTATCTTTTATATTTGTTTTTTTAAAATCTTTCGCTCTCTCCTTTCTGCCTCCCCCTCCCCCTCACCTCTCTATATCCTAATCTTATTCTACTCATCATTAATTCATGTCACCCACTTTTCTCTTTCTTGCAAAATATTTTCATTCCATTTCTATATTTTTCTTGTTGCTGTATTTCCATTTACTTCCTAAGCAAACAAGTTCCCTTTTGAAATACTTTTTATGTTAGCCATGTCTAGGTACCTGGATTCAACTCTCTATATATTTTTCATCTATTTTTTGTTCCAAATCCTTAGTCTGTTTTCCATTTTTCCAAAAGAAAACAAAAAGATAATCATCTAGTTTTCTAGGAAATACCATCAAAATATAGTGAAAATAGCCCAAGGTGTATTTGTTTTGCATGTGAAAACAACCAGGGCTGTTCGAGAGGCGACATTGAAATTATAGATGCATTTTTGATTTTAAGTCTAATGTTCCGTTGAATTGCTAGTTATCAACGCACTCCACGTTCTGTTGTCATGTAAACAGCAGGTTATACTCCTGACCATATTTTCTTGCACCCTGGCTGGAATAAAAACATCCTGATGTAATAAAAGAGAGATATATTGTGACATCACAATCACATTGTAACATCATAATCACATTTATCAGTAGGAATATCAATCTTTGGATCAGTGTTGAGGAGGTTTTATATTGCTTTCAAATGTCAATGACTTTTCATTTCAGAAGAACTGTTATCAGTGTTGTGTATCAGCCGAAAAGTCTTTCACAAAGCTTGATCTCGTCAATTCTTTCTCAGAATTTGGGGCTCCCAACACTTTTATAGGGGCTCTAATGTGAATAAGTACAATTTTTCCAGCAGAATAGCAACTACTTGTACACCTTCATGATGACTATGTATAAAATATTCCAGCTTAAAATCTCTTTCACCTAATTAGTTGCTACCTTCCTGGATTGTTTTTCCCCATCAAAATTTGTATTTATTTGTTTAATTTTCATGAATATATCTCCCCAAATCCTCCCTTTACACATATATACGGCCTGCGCAAAGAAGCCATTTATTTGTAAAATCCCGACCTGAAGTTCATTAAAACATGATAATAATGTAGAGCTGAGATATCAACATATTCATAATCTAAGTAGCATCTGGACTGTCAACGGAAATCCTGATAAATCTAGTGTGGGCGTGAGGAATGGGTGGATTGTCCCAGAAAAATGTAGAGATCAAACCATTATACACTAAATTAGGTTGTGTAGACATGATCAGAATAGCTAGGCTAATGTGAAACTTTGTTTATAATGAATGCAGAGGAAAGTCATTTACTTCAATCAGAAAGAAAGTACCTGTGTGGGAAGTATGATGTATTAGGACATTATCTGCTTGACTATTTTTGTTGGCAAAGTTCTAGTTTATAATTCTGTACCTTAAGCCTGTCCGTACTAGTTTAGGTAAAAGGGATTAGACCTCCCTGTATGGTCACTGACAGATGGTTATCTCATCAAATCAGCTCTCAATTAACATAACGGGTACCACTTAGGCAGTGTTTGCTATGTAGAGGGCACAAGTAGCTACAAGTAGTGCAGTCTCGCTTTAAAGCCTTGTAGTTCTTTGAACATAGATTGACTAGTTGCTTGTGGATGAAAATGTTGTATACCTTCATTTCTGCATCATTATATTCTCTTGGAATATAAAGTTGTTTCATAGCTGGCATCGAGATTTAGTTCATAAAAGGAAAGTCTGGTTCAATATCCTTGCTAACACATCAAGATGTAGCCTGTGAGGTTTAGAAATCTCTGCTAGATTTTATTTTCCATTGCACTTTCTGCACTGTATCAAGCTAGCATACAGCAACCCAAGGGTTTTCTTCCTTTTCTTTTATTGACTGCTATTTCTCACTGAGGACTCTGATTGGCTGAGATTGTGAACCCAAGCAGCCAATCATTGATTAGCTAGCAGTACGGTGACTGGAACATAATTATGAGCAAGATAAAGAGAGAGAGAGAGAGAGAGAGAGAGAGAGAGAGTGAGAGTGAGTGAGTGAGTGATAGAGAGAGTGACACACAGAGAGAAACATAGAGTGAGAGTGGTTGGGAGAGGGAGAGGGAGGATGAAGGAGAGGGAGAGAGAGAGGGAAAGAGAAACAGAGACAGAGAGAGTGTGGGCGAGTGAGTGAGTGAGTGAGTGAAAGAGAGAGAGATGAAAATACTAATCAACATCCAGCTGTGCGTGCTATTTATCTACCTCTCTCTCTCTCTCTCTCTCTCTCTCTCTCTCATCCTCCTAAACCCCTCCCCTTGCTCATTGCTATGGTAGTGATATATGCTCTAGCTTCCGTGTTGTCTGATGATGCGATTGCACTCTCTGCTATGTATGTATTATATTCTATCCATACTGGTTGAGTAGTTATCTGATTATGTTCTACTAAATGCATGTTGGCAGATTAACTGCCGCACCTGTAAAATGCTACAACACCTCTGGCATTTGGATTCCATGGTATATTCTTCAAGCATTAAACTCTTTTGTAATGTATTGTAACTCGTGATATTAGCTCTACCTTGTTGCCAGGAGCATTTCTTTCAAAATAAAAGCTTGAAACTTTGGTAAAGAGTTGTTTTCTCATCCAAACTGGTATAACACTTCAGACCATTTTTGTAATAATTCAAACAAATTCAGTGATTACATTGGACTAGTTTCTGAATCATCAAGTTACATAAGGAAATTCTAGGAGCTTCAAAGGCACACTTGCCTTTCATTTAAACCAAATTTGATATTGATTTTCAAATGGTTTCAGCATTTTTGCTTATATTTCATAATATGTGACAATATCGGTTTAATTATGGTGTTCAACTGATTGCAATCAGAAAGTGTGCAAGGAATTCGGAGGAACAGTGTTCATCATTATTTTTAAAGGAGCTAGCTATCACAGGTGAATAGAAAACCAAAAATAATTTTGAATAATCTTTGTTTAATTGACAGGTGCATCGGTGTTAAGGAGGCCTTGAATGGGAAGCCCCTTTCACACATCCATGCTGGAAGAAGACCTATTGGATTACTGTATGTCAAACAACCGTGGATGTGATCTCAGCTCAGCACTCTACAGATAGCCTGACTGTGGTATCTTCATCATCGTCATCACTACCACCAATCTTGCTCGCTAGCCGCTCTGGAATGTAGGAGCATCATCGTCACGGCAGCATCCTCCTAAAGCTCTCCTCCCGTCTCTCCTCGCTCTCCATCCGCTGCTTGAATCATCGGCACGCCAAACATGCCGCTCAAAGTTCGCACAACAAATTGGGGTCGGCTGGTTCTCTCGCGTGTCTCATCACTTTATCAAGCTTCCTAGCTAGCTCCGTTGCTTGCTGGATGTAGAGACTGGCTGTCATGAGATGTGACTCTCTCTGCTGGGGGCACAATCTTACACCTCTAGAGCTATGCATATAGACTGACAACTGGAAGCATACAATGGAATATATTACTTTCTGGAACTTCTTATGATTCTATATTTTCATTTTCCTGCAAACTTATAAAGATATTTGGTGAGAGGAAAGAACAAATTGAGGAGATACTTAGGACTCAATTTATGAGGTAAGTTGCCACTATATTGCTGTTATTACTTTTAGAATTGATCTTGTTTCTTTTAGTGATGGTGTATACGTGGCTGTCTTTTGTGATTGTGTTTATTGAGCTGGCTTAGCTTAAAGCTATATGCTAGCATTGAGTTGAAGCGAAATGATCATGCCCAAAGTTTCTTCGCTTTTTTCAGTCGAGCCACAGAAGTTTGTTTCATACAAACAACAACAACAGCAGCACGAATCTTCTCTGAAGCAATTTAAAATGTTATGTAGGTCTAATAACTTACTACATGTATCAGATCATGCGTTCATATAGGCACTAGAAATTTTTTTCCTACAGAGCTAGTGATATTTTAATCAATGGGTAAGCTACAGTATGATCGATTCTGGTATTTATAACAGGCTTTCAGGAGACTCTATTCTGAGTTTAACCTTAGACTTTGTATGTATTGTATTGTAAGATGCTGCAACATCAATATTGACATTCATTGATTTCTGATAAAAGGAAGAACATTGGAATAAAATTCATTAATATTCCGTTTACTAAACGTATCTGATTTCCCGGGGGTAAAAAACATCCATTGTGTTAAAAACTACTGCAGCATCATGATTGACATTCATTGATTTCATATCAAAGGAAAACATTAAAACAAAATACATTAATATTCCCTTTTAGTAATACATATCATCTGATTTCTTAGGAGGTGAAACAAGGACTAAAAAGAAAAGTCTATCAAGAAATAATGCAAAACATGTTTTTTGAGCAATTGCTATATATTGAATATGTTGAGGACACAAATAGCAAAGTATTTGTTATTTTATCAAAATCAAACATGATAATTATGCTAATGGACTTTATTTCTTAGCAACTCATGAGTACATGACATGCATTTTATTACATACTGCAGTTAAATTTATGAACTTTGATCTGATGTTTGAGAAAATGTCCTCCCTAATGACAGTGTTTTTTGGAAGTGTATTTATGTCCAATATTGCCAGGTATTGGTTGCTGGAGTGCATGCAGATAATTTCTATATGACCAGTCATTGCCATGCAAGTTACAGCTTAATGAGCTTTGCTGTCGTTTTATGAATTGGTTGTCGATGTATGTAGATGTAGCCTCACGTTCCATGTACTCTAAAGATTAGGCAATTTCAAAGGGAAAAAACAACCTCAGTTCAGTGTCATATTAACCTGTTGACTCCTGAATTTCTCTCATTCTCATAGACTTAATACATACACTACCATGTTCCAGGATTCAATGGGTTATCCCATTATTTCTGTGTCTAGTAGATATCACTTGATGTTCAAAATAACAGGACTCAAAATCAGTTGAAGGATTAATGTGCAGTGAGATAAAAGTAAGAAAGAATACTCTTATGCCATCCAGTTACCAAATAAACACACATAACATTCTCCCAAAGAAAGTTTCAAAACCTTCGTTTCTAATACATGAATGTAATACTACAAAAGAAATGGATAGTGGTAACTACACATGTCAGTCTCAAACAATTTTTTAATGATTATTTGTACCTTGTAGGAGTATTTCATTTCATTTCATTTCATTTCTTTATTGTGTCCATATAGGATAATTGTTTACATGCACATGAACAATCTTGCTTCAACATATGAACATAGGAACAACATATAATTGACATTCATACATAGGGCCCTGTTTTAGTATACATTTGATATAATATGAGCTGAGTGAAGACGAGTGAGCCCTTTAAACAGCTGTATTTTTAAGCACTCTGATCAGTAACTAAGCTCTCATCATGAGCATCCTCAGGAGAGTGATTCTCCTTTCAATATTACATGTGTTTTGATAGAATCAGAAAGATTTTAGACTCCTACGTTGTCCTCACCTGCTGGAAGTCAAGCTCATCCATTCACATCAATAAATAAAAACTAACACCTAACCCTTTGCCTACGGGAACCAGGTTGTTCTTGTACTAACCCAATGGGAATGACAGGATTCAGTAGTCAAAGAGTTAACCCACTTGGTACCATTTGTCTTTTAATAACACACTTTACGTATAGACTCTAGGGCTTACGTATTCACTATGTTCAAAGTTAAAGAGGAAGTGTATATTGTGCATAAATCTGCTCTCACATAATGAATTATTTGTGGTAAAAACAAAAGAGAAGCTAGACCAACAAAAATGGAGGAGGAGGAGAAGGAGAAGAGGATCAGTGTGTTATGAATTTACTGCTCACTTACAGTATGTGAAGTGTGTTTATAAAATCCATTATCAGTGAAAATCTTTGTGATATTCTCTAAATTTTAAATGTCTTTTACTATCTTTCATTCATAATCCTTTAAAATGACTCCGTGTCATATAGCCCCATTTTTGTTGTTGATATGTTAAATTGAGCTACAGCAGGGCATAATTCACATAGATGGTATCAGGGTTCTTTGAAGAAAAATCTAACCAAATATGTGATTATTAGAGTGACATCGATATGGAAACCAAGCATTAGACCTGGTTTTAAGCATAATCATACAGAAGAAAACATCATTCAGAAAGTAAATGTACTTTTTTTAATGTTGAGCTTTCTTACATCAATAATGAGCAAATCCATTTCATCTTTCTCTCTTTTCTGCTCCTCTGTTTTGATTTATCCTCCTTCATTTGGTTTCCTTTAATGAAGTTATCAATCTCCTAAACACAAGTCTGTCTGTCTCTATACTCCTATTTCTCTCTCTCTCTTTCTCTCTCTCTCTACTTTTCTCTCTTTCTCTTTCTGCCTGTACTCCCTTCACTTTATTTCCAAATTTGAATTATAATTCATAATGAGGATATGCCCCAACTTTGATAATTCAAAGGTATTTTACTAACTTTTTAAGATGTACAACTTGAGAAGACATATGTGAAGCAAGAAAGATATGAAAGCTGTGATAGTTTTTGGCACCCTTTTGGTATAACCTCTCTCATCATGAAAATACTTATGATTTTGAAGACACACAATGTCACTGCATTAACATAAGAATTCTCATTGGAAATCAATTTGAATTTTTATCTTACTAAACATCTATCATTTTTTCCTTCAAACTCTTGGATGTCCCTTCTTGCATTGTTAGCCATCTCATTAAAATTGTTCACTGTTTGTTTGGCTTGTTTGACCTCGTTAAAATGTGAAGAAGTATTTTGCTGCAGCCATTAAGAATAGAATTATCATTGGAAATTAATTTGAATTTTTATCTTCCTAAACATCTATCGTTTTCTTCAAACTTTGGGATGTGTTATTCTACATTCAATTGATGCCAGCTCATTAAAATTTCAACTGCTTTTTTTTTACCTTTTCATAATGTGGACAAGTATTTTGATACAGCCAGAATAGAATTATCATTGGAAATTAATTTGAATTTTTATCTTATTAAACATCTATCACTTTCTTCAAACTTTGCCGGGATGTGTTTTCCTACATTCTAAGCTAGCTCATTAAAATTTCAACTGCTTTTTTGACCTTGCCAAAATGTGGCAAAGTATTTTGAAACAGCTAGAATAGAATTCTCATTGGAAATTAATTTGAATTTTTATCTTACTAAACATCTATCATTTTTTTCTTCAAACTTTGGGATGTGCCTTCTTAATGATTCTAAGCTATAGCTCATTAAAATTTCAACTGCTTTTGTGACCTTGTCAAAATGTGGAAAGTATTTTGATACAGCTAGAATAGAATTCTCATTGGAAATTAATTTGAATTTTTATCTTACTAAACCAGGACTAAACATCTTTCATTTTCTTCAAACTTTTGGATGTGCTTTTCTACATTCTCAGATAGCTCATTACAATTTCAACTGCTTTTGTGACATTAATATTGTCAAAATATGGAGAAGTATTTTGATACAACCATTAGACAGGACCTGAATAAGTATGAGATAGTTCATCATCAGCTGAATGATGTCTGTATGCATTACAGTGATGAGCTCCGACCTACACAGCATACCAATAAGCAGTGGTGAACCTTTTATTATAGTTTAGAAATTGATTCATGTTGATACAGATGGGATCACAAATCACTCATATCTCAATTGTTTGTTGATGAGCTGTTTGTATTTCTCTTAGCATCAGTGCTAGTGCATTCTGGTATACAGAGAAGGAAAAAGATATATTGGTACAGATGATGAAATATAAATCAAAGCTGTTTTAAAGTATTTTTTTTTCTTTCTGGTTTTATCTGTTAACTATTAACCATATTGAGAAGAGAGGCAAACAGGTACACTGTATAAAGAAAGTGACTTACAAGTAATTTACTGCTATGCAATATATACGTAGTGAGATAACACAGAGTATATATAGTCTCTATTGGTGATTTCAGGTGTAATAATGGATCTTAAAGGTAAAGACCAGTTATGGTCATGCGATTGCATTGTGAAAGAAACGTTGTGGAATCGATCAGAAAAGGTTGATCATCTAGCATCTAGCATCTGCAAGGTTTTGGAATCATCAAAATGATAAGAAATTTGTCCCATTCTTCATAAAGTTACAAGCACTATACACAGAAAGATGTATATGGGACTACCCTATATCTCTCACAGACCATGAGAGAAACAAATTTACCAAATATATGAATTAGTAGGCGGTTTCCCGGCAAACTTTTTATCATCATGTATCAGTCAAAACATATTCTTTCACATGATTGGTAATGAGAGCTTCCATTTCATTTTTTGAAATTGGGGCATTTCCAATACTGGCCTTTACCTTTAAATGTTGAGAAGTTCTCTTTCATATCTCAATGAAATGAAAATGAGAGAGAGAGAGAGGGGGGAGGTTGAGTAATATAAAGAGAGAGAGAGAGAAAATGGTAAAGATAAAAGTGATATATAGGAATACTAGACAGGCCTATAGTAACTATACAGACATAAAGAAAGAGAGAGGGAGAGAGAGAGAGAGAGACAGAGAGACAGAGAGAGAGAGAGAGTAAAAGAGAAAGAAAGAGGTAGATTATGTAAAAGAATAGAACTGGCAATTCAAGCGAGATGAAAATATAACAAGAGTTAATTACTGA